TGTCCTTTTCTGTATCTGAGCTTCACTGTCAAGTGGGAAGACACCAGCGTGAAGGTGCACGTGGCTTTTGCAGGATAGTAGCTCAGAAAGTATAACAGGAAACACTGGGGAAAAGCTGAAGGGGGGTGGAGCAAGGCCAGGCAGGACTGGGCTGCTGAGAAAGTAGCAAATGAAATCACTAGAATGGCTAAATAAGGTTTCCAACCATTCACAAAATAATTCAGGACCTGAAGAGTATCTGTTGCTTCATGTTGGAACCCTGAAGGGAAATAAGGGCTTCCTGGTTCACTTAAACTAGGCATGTCCAAAGTCCGCTTCGGGGGCCTAATCCATCCCGCTGGTTGGTTTAATCTGGTTAATCTGACCCCTGTGGTAGTTTATTTCCTGGGGTAAGATCCTAAAAACCCCACAACAACAATTCTCAAAAAAGGTCAGCAACTTTGGTCGGCCCTCACGGCCCTTCACTTCATCAAATCTGGCCCGCTTTGAAAAAAGTTTGGACACCACTAACCTAAACAATAGGATTAGTTCTTCATATAATTCTCCACATATCACCCAGGCCCATCTAACCCAGAGCCAGGGCTTTTTTTCAGCCAGAACTTGCCATCACCTTTCAGGCACTGCCCAGAGCAATAACCTCCTTTAGTTTTCATAGAATCATAGAATTGTAAATTTTAAATGTCTCGATCTAAGAAATGTAATCTGTTGCTGAGATCACATAACACTGGTCCTGAAAGACCTACATCAGCTTCCAGTATGTCTCTGAGCACAATTCAAAGTGTAGGTGCTGACCTTCGAAGTTCTAAATGGCCTTGGTCCAGTATACCTGAAGGAGCGTCTCCACCCCCATCGTTCAGCCCGGACATTGAGATCCAGCTCTGGGGGCCTTTTAGCAGTTCCCTCACTGCAAGAAGTGAAGCTACAGAGACCCAAGCAGAGGGCCTTCTTGGTAGTGGCACCCACCCTGTGGAATTCCCTCCAATCAGATGTTAAGGAGATGAGTAATTATATAATACAGTGTTCAAAACTCCCATTCCTCTGGGCACATTTTGCAACAGGGAATTTCATTAGCACGAGCCGCTTCTGAGCTCTGAGCGCAGTAGTGCGCCTAAGATTTCTGATTAAAACTGAGGAGGAAGGAAAGGAAGATCCTTTTCTGCCACCCACTTCCAGCTACTCTCTGAAGATTGGAGAAGAGACCCTTTTAAGAATATTAGGTGGGCAGGCAAGGGAAGGACTAGACCATGTGAAAAATGAACACGATATTTTAGCTGCGGTTCATTCATTTCCAGCTTTGTATTCTTGTTATAAAAAAGCATGCCTGGACATTCCATTGTTGCACCCACAACCTTGGTTTAAGGTGCCATTTAGCTCCTAGCTTTCAGATCTCAGTGTCTAACACTGATACAACATTTAGGAAACATCTGAAAGCAGCACTGTATAGGGAAGCTTTTTAAGGTTTGATGTTTTATTATATTTTTATGTATGCTGGAAGCCACCCAGAGTGGATGGGGCAACCCAGTCAGATAGGCGGGGTACGAATAATAATAATAATAATATTGTGAGGCATTGTGGGTAAAGTGGCCCTAGAAAGTGCCTGTTTAAACAATATTTTGTATTCTCTGAGGAAGGATCCCCTCCCCTGCTCTGGAGTGAGCCCTGTAAGTTACTTTGAGTAGCCTTGTGCAAGATAAAGTGAATAACAAATTTAATAAATAATCTCTGAAACAATCCAGATCACGAAACTAGACTAGGACACTGTACAGATACAAGGACAGCAGAAATCAGATAAGGCTGCTAAGCTAACCGCAAGTGCTTCTCAAGGCATTTTGGCTCAAGATATTTTGCTGCCTAAAGAGAAGCCCAAACAGCAACCCCGCCCCCACGCCTATCAAGAGACTCTACGGATGTGCTTTTGCTTTGCTGGGTCACAGGAATTCCATTAAAAATAAATAGACCATACTATAGTGGAGTTAAACCTCCCCTGCTCTGAATGTTATGAATGAGCTGAAATCTGCAGTTACCATTTCTGCATCCAAACCAACATGCTTGCTACTGTACCCTACTGGCTGGTGGGAAATTGCTCTAATACCCTTCAAGCTAACTCTGATTCTAGTCAGATCTCTGTGAATGTTTCTTGCTTTGGGGGGAAGGAAACCCATCTGATTTAAGATGAGCTCAGTATAGCTGGAATGAGGGATCTGGTGTTTGAATTTGTGACCTTATGGTACTGAACACAGGAAGACTTTAGGGTAAAGTTGTGCTTTGATTATCCTATGTCCAAGTTTAAATGTTTTAAGAAGTAAAAGCTCATTCTGTTTTCATCAGCTGTCTAGTTGAATTACATACAGTAACTTGATTCTGTGGGGGCTGTTAACAATTGAGGAATTGTGGCACCACATTCACATCTCAGAACTAGGCATGTATTGTGAGGGTTGGCATATCCCTTATGTTGAGCTCAAACAGCCCTGAACCAGTCATACCCAAGACTCGAGAACTTTTCTACAGGATGAAAGTGACCAGGCCAGGACCTTGGACAGCTATATTCAAATAGAGACACAGAGGATGCATTCTCAAGCTCATAGACCATTAGGTGAAACCTTAAGTACAGTCATAAGCATATACATCTCTGCTGACTAGGCTCAGCAAAGGGCTCAGTATTTATACGAGACCTGGCCAATCCAAAGGCTTTATAGGTAAAGATAAAGGGACCCCTGACCTTTAAGTCCAGTCGTGGATGACTCTGGAGTTGCGGCGCTAATCTCGCTTTACTGACCAAGGAAGCCGGCGTTTGTCAGCAGACAGCTTCCGGGTCATGTGGCCAGCATTACTAAGCTGCTTTTGGCAAACCAGAGCAGCGCACGGAAACACTGTTTACCTTCCCACAGGAGCGGTACCTATTTATCTACTTTGATGTCCTTTCAAACTGCTAGGTTGGCAGGAGCAGGGACCAAGCAATGGGAACTCACCCCATCGTGGGGATTTGAACCACCAACCTTCTGATCGGCAAGCCCTATTGCAATTACATGTATCCATTCTATGACAGAAAGTGACTCTGAAATAAAGCCACATGCAATGAATCATAGCTCACTAGGCCTCACTCAGCCTCCGAGGTCTTCAAGGGAAGCTTTGGAGTTCCTGAGACAAGATGAGTTCTTTAGTATGCTTCTAGTGTATTAACAACTCTCATGTGGAATGGGATTTTTAGTTGATGGTGTTCATTATTAGTAGGTATGTTTGCCAACTTTCAGCTCCAGAGTAAAGATTGTAATTTTGACAGTTGTAAATGAGGGCTTCTGATTTAGTGAGTTAACCTTCGAAGGCAAGGCAGGTTTAAGGATTAGCAATTTGCTTGGATAAAGGAAAACGGAAAAATATAATTAATCACTTGCCTGTCCCCCCAACACTAGTTTACAAAACCATGGTGAAACTTTATTGAGATCAAAATTGAAGGGTGACAAGGTTAATATGTAGCTTTAGACCTCATGGTTTCATTAGCAAACACATTACAGGGCTGTAAAGCTGAGCTGACAGTAATGCTAGCCCCAAACAAAGTAAATAATTACTAGCTTGGCAAATGAGGAAGCACTTGCAGAGTTTGTTTACATTTGGTTTTTTTGGGAAAATTCATGTTGGCAACCAGTCAAATACAGTTTGATAGTAATTGTGACAATTGCTCACAGATGCTGCTGGAAGAACAACAAAAGAATGGATTTATGGTTATTCTCTCTTGCATTTCTCCCCTTTGTTGCCTCTTTCCTTCACCATTTTGGATCAATAATAAACTCACAGCCACAAAGATAAGTGGGTTACATGGCAGATGGGCTCTGGAATGCTTAAAAATCTCATGTTGCATTCTGTCTTTTAGCCATAGACCAAAAGAGAGCCATAGACAGCTGTGTTCAAGCTGCACTCATAAAATCGTTGCTCCTTAGAAATGCCTGTGGGTCCCTGAGAGGGGATCATAGCCCTGCATAGGATTTTTCATGAGAAAGGCAGTGGTTCCATGCTGTTGTGCTCTCAGTAAACTTTCTCAGATGCTGGGGATACAAGACTGCGGCTAGGATCCATTCTTTTGCACAAATCATTCTGAAGGGAACTTTGAATATATTGCCCGAGATTTCAACACGGAGAAAGCCCACCAAACTGGAAAATAATACTGTGTGGCAAATCAGATGAATCAAAGTAATCATCATAATAAGAAAAGAAAAGAAAAGAAAACCTTAGGTCCTTTTCCAAGCCTTCAGATTCACCTATATCCTAAGCAAGAATTTGTATACAGAATCCAATGCTTACAACTTAATATTTGATTTTGAATTCCTATTTCCTCTTGAGGTACAGTAGAATGTGTACATTGGAAGCCAATTTTTTATTGCTAACATATTCTTGTCTTCAAATCCCAAATAACTGAATTATAGTCTGTTCAGTAACCTGAGACCAGTGGTATCATTACATTTAACCTCCTCTCTGAGATATCTCGGTATATAATTGCTATGAATTATAATTCCTCCAAGATGAATACCACTCTAAGCTTGGAAAGAAAACAAAAAAGTGAGTGTTCCGGAGTGGGGAAGTATTCACAGATACTATGCATGCCTGTAGGAGAAAGTGAGCAATACATACACTGGTGCCCATGGTTTTCTAAACTAATCCCCCAAACCTCAAAAGTATCTGAGTTGTCCAGCTACCTAAAGTTTCTGAATTATTGATCCCTTCTCCTTTGTTTCTCAAGTTGACTGCTGTGGCTCCTTGCTAGTAGGTCTCCCCCCTCTTTTTTTTCTCAAGCTACTTTCATCTGTGCTCAGACCTCTTCTTTCTTCGTGAACAATATTTTAATCATCGTATTTCTCAGTGCCATGCCCTATATCTCTAACTCACAGATGGGCAACCTGATTAGCTGGATGTTGTTGGACTACAGCTCCCATTATCCCAGCCAAGGACCATGGGGCTAATGGGAACTGGAGGGCAACTACTTTGCCCTTTGCTGTATCTACTTGTTTGCCAACTCAGTGGGTTAGAGCATGGTGTTGGTAACGCCAACATCACAGGTTCAATCCCCATAAGAGACAGCTGCATATTCCTGCATTGCGGGAGGTTTGCCTAGATGAACCTCAGGGTCTCTTCCAACTCTATGACTCTTTTACTCTTTTACAGCTCAGGATTTCCACATCTGTCTCTTTCTAGGTACATATTTTTCTTTATCACTCTCTCTCATATCTGCTGTGTTCCATTCATCATCATCTGGTATCCATCATGTGCTGTATCCAGCCTAGTCATTTCTTTGCTCAAGTATTCCCCATATAATTTGATTTCTCAATGCCTTCCGTTTCTTGGTTCAATTCTTTGTGCACTCATTTTTTTTTTCAATTTATTGTTTCCACTGCTGACTTCCTAGGATGCAGAATTGGCTGAATTAACAGGACATTTTATGCCCCAAATGCCTTCCCCATTCAAGCCCCCAAGACTCATGAAATTTCATATATGATTTTGGGCCACAGCTCTTGGACTGTGTACAAATCTAGCATACTACCCCAGATCACTTTTGCCAAGGAATGTTGGGTCACACCTTTAAGATTATATGCTGATTCCTTTAAAAAAAAATACTGCTCAAAATGATTGCTTGGTTAATTGCATATCTCTCCCATATTGGCCTCTTATAGCCACTGTGGGCGCTGTAACCATCCAACAGTTTGACTTCACCCCCAAAGACACACTCCTCCATTGTCTTCCAAGACAGACAGAGGCCAATAACAAGTCAAGCTGACTCGGTTAGCTGAGCAACACACTGCTACAAACATGATAGTGAATGTTTTACAAAAATAAATGCAATTTCAATGTAACTGAATGGGATTTTCTCAGAACAAGATGTTGCAGGTCTTTGCTTTTTCCTACTGCGTGTGTCAATTTATTTTACTACAAAAAGTAATTAGATGTCCACCTGCACCCTTAAGCATTGAGGCATCCCCTTTATGTACAAAGTAGGCATGGATGGCATTTGAAAGTACCAAAGGATGGCCTGGATAGTTCAGTTGGTTAGAGCGTGGTGCTGATAACACCAAGGTTGCAGGTTCGATCCTGTATGGTACAGCTGCATATTCCTGCATTGCAGGGGGTTGGACCAGATGATCCTCAGGGTCCCTTCCAACTCTACAAATCTATGATTCTAGGATATGTGGGCAAGAGGGGCTGACTGTCAATACCTGTGGCTCCCCCTTCAGTGCTTCTCTCACAGCTAAACTCACTTTCTGTTTCTCAGATCCTGAGGAGATGGAATGGGTGGAAATAGCACCCAGCCTTTCCCACCAACATAGGGTTGTATCCGAAGTATCAGTGAGTAACATGCCCTATAAGCAACCAGATTAACTTGTGCAACTGGACTCCTCCCTTCCCCAGTATGCCTTGTAAATCTGTCCTTCTAGGAGCCATCTGGAGCAGACTTGGGGGAAGTGTGGGCACACACAGGGGGAGGGGGAGTTCAATTGTGCAAGCAGAAAGCCTTTCACTGATGGGACGCATTAGTTTGACACTGCCCATGCCTCTCTAAGCCCTTTAAGACTCCACCTAAGCCTCCACTCTGTAATGGCACCTCTGTTTTCTAAGGACTAGAGTCTGCTGTCATCCCATGTACTTTGGGTCTTACAATCACTGTAGTCCTGACCAGGACCAGCCCAATACATTTTGACACCTGAGGCAAGCCACAAAATGACAAATCCCCCCTCCTGCCAGGGAAAAAAGGGTGAAATAAAGGAACAAAGGGTAAATAAAGCTATACATTGGGATCTGCTGCCTCTGTGGAGCCTGCCGTCTGAGGTGGTCGTCTCACCTTGCCTCAAGGGTAGGCCAGTCCTGGTGCTGACTGCCTTTGTTCTGCTCATTTTGACGAGTGGAGATATGCCAATCTATTTCTAGAATGCTGGAGAACTAAAATGGCACGAAGCCTTCTCCACAAGGCTTACAAATAGAGGGACATAGTAAAATCTGTATGTGGATTTCCAGCAGGTAGGAATCTGAATTACTGAAATGCTGATGGCTGACACTTTGAGAATCATTGCTATGCTATATATTGACTTAAGGAGATGCCATGCATGCCTGTTCCTTCTAGTGATGGGAAGGTTGGGTAGGTTTCTCTGCAGCTGACTGACATTTGATTGACGGAAGACAGTAAGGGGGTCCACTTGCCTTTTAAACTGCACAGTTGGAGCTGTCAGCTAAGGCTCGAGCCAGACATTATATATATTTTTTCCTGTGCAGCTATTGGCCCAAGTGTTGCCTTAAAAAAATGAAATGAAATGAAACAATACCATTACAAGTGAAACTGCATGAAATGAACAAAATAGGACCAGAACCCAATATTCTGACTATCAGCAAACCAAAATAGCACTACAGTGTGCAAGAATGCTGGCTTCAGAGTTGATCAGTTCTTGACCTCTTCCTAAACAGCTGTAGGAATCCAGCTCCACTAGCCTTGGGGTGTATCTCAGTGCCAGGCAAACACCCAGGTGAGGGAGCAATGTACTGTTTTTTTCCTTGCAGGTACACCTGCAAGCCAGGGAACTGAGGGAGGTTGCGGACAGCAAAATTATTTTTTATGGATTTCTGAAGAAGCACTTGAGTGCTGAAGAGCACCTGGCAGTGATTAAAGTTGCGTAGTTCAAGAGCAGCTGAGAAAGACACATACACAGAAATTGGATGAAGCAGCAGCAAAAGTTGTTGTTTTCTGCAACGGGTTATCTAGGAAGTCATAACGTGCAATACCGTTGCCTGACCCAGAAAGTCCAGTCCTGCAGGGTGAAAATGCCAAGGAAATGATATATAAAGATATATAATGAATTGGAAAAAAATGTTTAAAAATACCTTTCCCCCCCAAAAAACAAGAGTCCTTTTCGTTGGGGGTAATTCAGAGGGAAATTCCCAGGTGTCAAAAAAGACTATTTATGTATGCCACTATGGCGGCCCATGTTTTATTAGGTCAAAAATGGAAAACGGGCGAGGTCCCAACCAAAGAAGAATGGCAACTTAAACTGATGGAATACATGCAGCTTGCAGATTTAACATGCAGAATAAGAGAACAAGAAGAATGTATGTTTAAAGAAGACTGGAAAATGTTTACTGAATATATGGGTGAAAACTGGTAGCATTAAGATAAATTCAACAGTGTAAATAAGTTTTGATGGATGTAACAATGGATTACTGAATGGTTTAGTTCATGTAAAATATGCAGGGATGGTATGCAAAATGTACCACGGAAAGAGAAGAAAGGAAGTCATTGATTTAAGGTTGTTTAAATGAATATATTGAAATGTAAATTATAAAATTTAATAAATAATAATAAACCTAGACCGAAAAATTGCATTTACCAGCACTACCTCCATTCAGAAACATACCCAGTTACTTCAGGGGTTAAGGCCACAGATGTGTGTGTAAGCAGTTATGTAGTGGGGGGGTGGGAATTGTGAAGTGCAGTAGAAGCAAGTAGGCCAACTGCCACAGTGGCAGGGCAATGGATGAATGAGGTGATAACGAGGCTTTCAATATCTTCTTTAGGTTGTGGGGCTTTTTTTTTAAAAAAATGAATTGTTCTTCTTTTTTTAGACTGTACACCACATATTAAGCAGTGTAGACGTAGAAGAAGCTCTCTTTCTCTCTCTCATCCAAATGAGATACTGAAAGCATTCATTAGGAACAAATACTTATGTTTATTCCTGTACTGGCAGACTTGTGAAGCCTGTCTGGCCCTCATTCTTTCTTCCAATTACTATCCCAAGCAGGCTGAGATAAGATAGCCTCTGTGCTTTTCAACATTTCTTTTTCACCACCAGCTTGCAACACCAAGATACAATCCCTTCCAGAAGCATGGAGACCTTCTGGGACATCAGGTCTGCAGGAGGTTTTGCAACATACTCATCGCTTCCAAACATTAAATTCAACAAGAGAGCTGTAAATACGTTGCGCTGAAACTGACACACACACCCATACAGAGAAAATTGAAGCACATTCAGCTCTTAGAGGAGAAAAGCCTATCTGAGGTAGAGCTGTTGTAGGAAGCACTTCATATTATGTATGAACACTGTTGCAGTATTGATTAAGGTATATTTTAATCAATGTGTGAATACTTTAAACAGAGTGGCTTTGATAGGCCCTAAGGGAACCTTATTTCATTCAGTTCAAAGGTTAGGAACCTTTGCTCTGAGAACAGGTGAAGAGGTGATAACACATAATTATGAGGCTGCATCAGATTCCCCAGCAGATTGTCAAAAGAACTGAGTAGGGCTAGACAACAGTTGTGTATTAGCTTAGACAACAACTGATTTGCATTGCTTTATTTTATTTTAAGGCAAAAGTAGATGAGGATTGCTAAAATTCATGAATTGTAGAACACTACACAACATTTATTGTGGCCTACAGGACAGTGACTAAATATGCCTTAAAGGTGAAGTAAGATAAACTGTCAAGCTGTCTGAAAAGCAGTAGTACGGGCGTGATATTTTATTTATTTATTTTAAAATGTATCCTGACAACCAGCCAATTCAGGATCTTGTGACTGTTTATTATTGGGGGGCAGGAAGGGGGATTTCTATAAATTAAATTAAGAAATGGAAATAAAACTGTAAATACTTAAAACAGGAAACAGAATTTTTTTATATTATATTTTATGTATATTAGGCAAAATTGCATACAAAAATGTGAATATCAGGAGAGATGTGCACTAAAAAGCTGGTGAAATTTCATGAGGAATTTTCTTTTAGAAAGATTCACACACACAAAAACGTGGAAATGTGACAAACTGAACTTAAGCTTGGGAAAATGAGAAACTGAGAAAACCAAACTGACAGATACTGCCATTCCTACCAGCGAGATACCATGGCTGTTGCTTCCAAAAGCCACTGTGAGATCAGGCAAGAGCAAGAGGAACATATCCTTCCTGTTTCCCTCCCAATAAAGGTCATTCAGCAGGTTGGGCAAAGCTAATTCAGCCGCAAACCCAAGCAGAACCCAGTTTGAAACAGGTCCAGATATTGGTTTCCTCCCATCCATTTCCCTCAGTCAGGCAAACTGGAGCTTGGATCAG